GCAAGTTGGGTTTATTTAGAATTAAATTGGATGGATCTACTCAAATTCCAACTTGGAGGATTTGAATCGTCCGTTAATTGAATTAGTTTTTAGGAATGTAAAATTGTTTTTTAATTTTCCACTTTATAAGCAATATTTATAATAAATATATATTAAATTTATATATATAAATTATTTTAGATAAGATTTAGAGACATATGGGATATTTCAGCAACACAAGTAGTTCAACTCATCTTCAAATATTTCCAGAAACCAATCAAGCATCACTGGTCAATTTAAATTCAGTAGAATCCCGATATTATATTAAGGGGATCAGTTTTTTCGATTTACACTGAAATTAAAATTATCGATAAAAATTGAGAACGAATTTCCTCAAGGGTATCGAATTTTTTTTTCGATTTATCGTGATTTCGATTTTTCGGAGTACGAATTATCGAGACTCGACAGTATTTATTTCTAATAATTTTCCTTTTCAAACACCCAATGCCTTTCGTATATATATTCATTGGAATATAATGAAAAAAACAAAATAAATAAATAAATAAATAATTCAAAGTAAATCTTAAATACAAATTGGAGCACCACAAATGTTTGTTTAGGCTTGAGAAAAAATATTATCATAATATTTTTAATACATAACGATTTCAAATATAGCTTAAATGTATATCCGAAAATATGCTTGACGAATTTAAGTTTCCTTTAAAATTTAAATGACAAACAAAAAAAGTTAATAAAAGCATTTTGTGCTCTGTGGAATGCAGAAACATGCAACATGCGACAAAGTCTCCGAAAAGAACACAATTTTGCGTTTAGCTCTGTCAGGCTGACAAAGTGCCCGCCACGCCCACAATTTTTAGGGGCCCTCCCCCAGCCCGCAGCTGACCAGCTGAACAGTTCTAAGCAGAACGCAACGAAACAAACAACTGAACTCTGTCTACGGCTGTGTCGGCTGTGCCAACAATTGCATTAATTATGCGTGCGGCAACATTTTGTGGCAAAGGCTTTTGCCAAATTGCCACAGCGGAGGCACTTGAAAGTTTTGCAGACACTCAATTATATGGTCCAAGCAGAGCGGGCTGGGTGGGAGCAGGGGACGGCAAATGGAGAACTGCCGCCTGGTGACAGCGGCGACATCAACAATTCATCTTTGACGCGCAGAGAGAGAGAGAGGGAGAGTGAGAGAGAGAGAGAGAGAGAGAGAGCGATATATTGCTAGAGAGCGAGGGACAATTTGTGCGTGCCGCACTTCAAAGCGATTCGAGTTGAGGAATCGAGGCAAGGAATCTGCAGCATTGTCTGTGCTCCATGTCGACGACGTTGCCTTTTCTGTTTGCCTATTCAATAACTGAGATCCGCGCGCGAGTTGGCCAGGAGGCGGAGGAGGAGTGGCTGGCTGGCTGGCTGGCTGACAGACGAGCCAAATGCTAATCTTGATAAAAATAAACGCACTCGGGCACGTTGAGGTGGAAAAGTTGGCGCGTCTCACGTTTTTCGTCGCATTTTCAATTTGCTTGGCATTTGCCTGGCCATTGTCAGCATATCCCACCCATTGCCCCTGCTCTGGTGCGCCTCCCTCTCCCTCTCGCTTCCTCTCGCTCCCTCTCGCCCTGCCCTGCACTGTTGGACCTTTGCTAAGTGAATATTAATATTGACTTTTTGCCTGTTTGCTTTCGCATAGTTTGCAAAGTTTTTCACCTTTGATTGTTACGCTTGCTCGCTTCCTCCATAGCCTTAACCTGAACCTGAACCTGAACCCTGACCTCACCCGCTTACCATTTGTGGCCTTAGAGTCAACGCAGAGTCTCTGTCCCGACCTCTGCTCGCTCAGCTCTCATTCCCAGACTCATCTCAATGGTTGGTTTTAAATTTATGTGCAAAGTTTTATGCGTGGCAAGAGTCTTGGAATGGGAGCTGCTCCTGCTCCTGCTCCTACTCCTGCTGCTGCTGGTGTTCGCTCCTAGAGTGGAGGCGCTTTTCCATTATCAGCATTTGATGCTGCTTCCTTGTCGGCAGTTGCTATTATTTTCCATTTTTATGACATTTAACTGCACGTCTCGTTCCCAGCTCCAGCTCCAGCTCCAGGGCCCTCTCTCTAACTGGATGCCTACCTCAGTTAGACTTTCGGTTCCAGGTACTCTCCAGTCACGCTTGTATTAAAATAAATTGACGAAAAAAAAGGCAAGCAAACAATGTCAATTTAATTAAATGAAGCTTATAAAAACCGGGTAGAGGCAGCCATGTGGGCGTGGCAAAGCATTTGAATTTTTGGTTAAGATACCGTCATAAAGTTAATGAATGCCGGATTGGGATAAGACTTATGTGATGAGCTGCTCGAGAATGAGTTGGAGAGAGGGAGAGATGCAGAGAGAGAGAGGGAGAGCGAGAGGTCTATGAATTTCGTTGAGCGTGCAACCTTAGTTTGGGTTTTTGCGATATTTGCACTGGTTTAAATATAGTATATATAAGAGCTTGAACTACTAGAAGAGCTTCTTTAGTTCCAATACTTCTATATTTTTTGTATGCTTAGCTTTAGCTCTTAAATTCTTAGGCTCTTAAAATCCAAAGGCTTTAAGGGAGATTATTACATGCTTTACTTGAACTCTTTAGTTCTTAAGAGCTAGATGCTATGGTTAAGTTTTTTATGTATCGAAACCAAATTCAGCTACTGATGAGTTATTAATATATACTTGAGGATAAACCCAAAAATTGATCCCAAAATAGTTGCTCATGTTAGAATTTTCATTTCTATATCCAATAAGTATTTATATTCTCATCAGCAAAGTTAAGCTCTCATTATCAGCAATGGTTATCCATCCCTTCAGCTCTTATGCCACTCGCAACTCTTCCATTGTAACTATAAGCAGCAGCTTGATTTATATCTCAATTATGAAATACGTCGACTTAAGCACTTTTCTTCCTTTTCATATATATATACACACACACACACACACACACATTGCCAGTCACTCGCTCGGCTTACATACACCTTGCAGTTGACGTACATATTTAAGCATTTTATAAGCCTATTAAGAGCCAACTTCGATGATGTTGGCCCCATTAAAACTACCGCAGAATGAAAAGTGGGCGCCGAAAGTGCAACAAAAACAACAATTTCGAAAAGTTGTTGGCCTTTGACGGCGCCTTCTCTCAGCTAGGTCGCTCCAATTTGGATGGCCCAGGGCAGTTCTTAACTACCCTAGCCTCGACCCGCCAGCTACAGCTCCACAGAGCTACACAGAGCTCCACAGCTCCGGCTCGTGCAACCGCAAGCGATGGCGTACTATCAAAATATTTGCCACAATGAAATCATATTTGTGTGCCCTGGCAGTGCCACGCCCCCACTTAGGGTATATGTACGCGACGAAAGTTGACGGAGAGGAGCAGGCGCTCAAAGAGCAAGGGGTGGCGGGGAGCAGAGGAAGAGGAGGCCGTCGACTGGGACTTGACTATAGTCAAGTGAGGCTGGCGTGCGAAAGTTTATTAAAAACTTTGTGTGCCTTTTGCTTTATTTTTTTTCACAAACAAACAAGCACACACACACACACGTGCCGAACACACAAAAACACAAACACACACACGCACACAGTGTTACAAAAAGCAACAGGAGCGACAACAACAACAATAACAATGGCCATGCGAAACTTAATAATTCACAGAGGAGTGAATTTTTCACAATTTTCACTTTTTTTGTTGCCGCGGTGAGCCAGGGGGGTTGACAAGCAGCCCCTACCCCCAGCCCTCACTCGAGTCGAGTGGAGGAGGCGCGATTGGTTGGTTAGTTGACGCTGCCTGCCTTTTCTTGTTTTTCACCAAATTTTATTGAAGCGTAAAATATGATCCAAAAACTGCGCAGCCACACGAGCAAAAAAAAAAAAAAATTAAACAAAGAAAATTTGCTAAAGAGAGCAAAAGTAGTTGGCGTGCGTGTGTGTGTGTGTGTGTGTGATGTGAGTGTGAGGCTTCAACTGTTGTTGACAGAATGAAACCTCAAAAGTTTGCGCTATGCTTTTATTATTTGTTTTACAGCTAGTTAAAAGCATTGTGCAAATTGCTGGCGTGTGCTTGAGGGGATTTCTTGAATGAGACGAGGCGTGTGTGTGAGTGTGTTTGCGCTTGACATATGCAAATGACAGACAAACAGACAGACAGCCCAATAAATTGTCTGCAAGTAATTTGTTAATTACTTAATTGCGTGTTGGCCAAAGGGCAAATGTTTAAATGATCAGCCCAAAAGTAGGCAATAGAAAGATATTCAATCATTTAAAGCGCCAGCCGGAAAGTATGCAACACTTTTTAAATTTGAAAACTTGGCAATTATCTTGTGCCATAATAAATATTTATATTACATTTAATATGGAAATCAGCGCCCTTAAAGAGTTTCTCGTTTCCATCCTTTTTTCTGGTATATAACGAAACTTTTGCGGCTGCTGCCAGTTTATTTAACACACTCGCAATTTTACTTATTTTCAGTTGTTCTTTTTTGTTAGACACGCCGCAAGATTTATGCGCATAAGTTGCTCGCTAATATTTCATAAAAGTCTAGAGCGACCTGAGCCAAAGCACAAGTCAAAACTCGTTTGAACGGCCAAAAGTGCTGACAACTCGCACAGAAAGTTGCTGAGTTTCCAGACGGCGAGCGTTGAGCTAACTGGGAAATGAAAATGATATTGAGTTGAGTTAGCTCTGCTGCATTTTATGGCGTTCACAGCGCACAAATGCCGGCAGTTTCTGCTAATGTGTGTATGGAGTAAAAAATAGGAAAAAAGGAAGTTATTTTATGCAAAGCATCTTAGACTTGGCATAGGCTGCAACGTAGATGTACTTTAAAGAATATCTCCAATGCATATTTATAAAGTGCTTAGACTAGAAAGTGCTACAATACTCTAAACTCTTAATAAGATTGAGCTTAAGCTTAAGTTTGTATGTGTATGTATTTATATATATATAAAATTAATTAACTAATATCTGTTATCTCTCTCCCTCTCTCTCTCTCTCTGCAGCACTCTGTGTCAGCCATGACGTCCAATAACTGGTGATTCTGCACCTCAAGCAACAGCCACATCCACAGCAGCAACTAGAAGCGAGACAACAACAACAACAGGCATACCAACGGCCGTTAAGGCGCAATCGAACAGCCCACAAAATGGAAACCGACACACACAGCAACAACAACAACAACAGGAACAACTGCAACAAATTTAACTCACACACAAAGTGGCGACAGGATAGCAAACCTCCATCTCTGGCCAGCAGAACAACAGCAACTCTGCCCCTCCTCCTGCTGCTGCTCCTGCTGCTGCTGTTACCTGGCCGCATCGATGCCTTCTGCCCCTCAAAGTGTCAATGCCTGGGCGGCGATGCGAACAGTCGCGCCCTGTGCGTGGACGCAGCACTGGAGGATGTGCCCATTCAGTTGAATCCGGAAACAAAGTACATAAATCTAACACTGAATCGCATACGTAATCTGGAATTCACGCTGCCCTTCTACATGAAACTGGAGGTGTTGGATCTCTCGCAGAACATCATCGAAACGCTGGGCTCCAAGAATTTCGAATACCAAACGGAGCTGCGCACCCTCAACCTGAGCAGGAATCTGGTCAGTGCACTGCATAAGCATGCTTTCAAGGGTTTGACCAATCTGCTGCTGCTGGATCTCAGCTACAATCGCATCGAGACGGTGCATCCCACGGCGCTGGGTGATCTGGCGGCGCTGGTGGAACTCGACCTGACCAACAACAATATTGTGAGCTTGGAGGATAACTGCTTCAAGGGCATGATGTCGCTGGAGGTGCTCGTGTTTCGCAACAATCGGCTATTGGATGTGCCGGCCAGCAATCTGTGGCATCTGCATGCGCTCAAGAGCCTGGACATGTCCGATAATCTGGTGGAGTTTGTGCGCAACGATAGCTTCGAGGGCCTCAAGGAGCTGCTCGCCCTCAGCGTGCGGGGCAACGTGATGAGCGAACTGGATGTGGGCGCCTTTGAGGGTCTCATCTCGCTCAAGCATTTGGACCTATCGGATAACAATTTGACGGTGAGTGTGGGGCCATAAACAACATGCGGAAACATGTCGTATACTTGTTAGATAAAATAATTTAGCATGAAACGGGCGCTTGGCACATTCTCTTATATACATACATACATACATGTATATCCACTTGGCCAACAGCTAAAATATTGCGGCTGCCTTTTAGGGCGCACTCACACACACACACACACACACACACACACATAAATCAGACACTTTGCTCTGTTGCTTGCGTAGTAAATCCTGTGACCAACACTTTGCAAAGCGGATTGCAGCAGTCGCCCATGTCCTGCTACGACATGGACGGCAGCTTAAGCTCGTCCTTCCTGTGCTGCCTCCTGCCAGCTGCCTGCTGCTTGCTGCCTCCTGCTTGCTGCCTCCTGCCTGCTGCCTGCTGCATACGCAAAATTAATAACCATAACTTGTTGTTGTAGTTGCTGTCGTTGCGCCTGTGTAAGTGTGCTTAGAACTTCACACACACCACACACACACACATATACATGCGCAGAGTCGTACATAGTGCGTCCTTTGCCCATGTCCTTTGCTATTTATGCATGCAAACATGTCCGTGCCGTGCTGATTTCTGTTGCGTATACACTTTGCTCAGGGCCCACGGCCATTCGTCGACATTTTGCGTTCGTTAAATGCTGCCTCTATCCTCAACGACACGCCCACTTTCCTGTTACAACTCCCTCTTTTGATTTTTTTTGTTTTTTTTTTTGGGCCAGCCACACTTTAAGTTTGCTATGCCACAGCCACAGAGCGAGTCGTTTTCAAGCAGCTTAAACGTCGTTCATAGTTGAGTGAGAAGCATTTGTTGCTTTTTTCACCACACACACACACATGCACATACACATACTCACTTGCTGCAACTCTGAAAAGTGTGCTGCACGCAAGTGATGTAAGATGGCAGCGTAGCTCAAGCGTTGAAAAGTTTGGTCAAATTTAAAGTGTAATCTATGTAGATTAATCTGAAAACTTTATTAGATTGTGAGTGAGGGGTATTAGGAGAAAAACTGATGTATAAATGATCACTATATAGTCTTAAATATATGTTGGAAAAAAAAAGCAACAATTTAATGAGCAAAATTGTTGTACAAATCCCCCACTTAATATTAATATTAAAATATATTAATTTTATATAAATAATATTATTTGAAAAGGAATTATATTTTGGTGATATTATATGTATATATAGAGTGAGTAACATTAATATTAGGTTTTTTATTTATGAACTGCAAACGCCTATAAAACATATAATATTAATTGAAATTAAAAAAAGCTAAATTGTAGATTGAGAAATATTATTTCCGATAAGGTATATATCAATAAAGTATATTTAATATATCTACGAGAAACAAGCATTATACATAAACCGGAAAAATTGTTAAAAATTAAAAAAAATATTACACTATATGTAATTATAATTTTTTTAATTAAAAATTTTTATAATTGATTTAACATCAAATCTATATAAATTTTATATTTTTTCAAAATATGTTACTATTAATAATGCTAAAATGAATTTACTTTTCTTTTCGAGAGTCAAAAATTAAATTTCAAATATCTAATGTCATATAACAGATCTAAAATTAAAAAAAAATTTTTTTTATTATTCGCACATATTTTTTCACTAAGTATTAAATTTTTTAGAATTTTTTTAGAATTCTTAAGCTCTGTTAAATTACAGATAAGGCACATTTTCTATACCTATACAGAAAATGCATTTTCTGAACATCTTATGATAGGATACCTCCTACGAAATATCTTCATTTATTTATAAAAAATATATAAATAAATATACATATATTTTTGCATACAGTTCATTGTGCCACCAAACTGGTAATGTTTAGCCAGCAGCCCAGACAGGCTGACATGCATAATCATGCTAATCTGCAAGCGAATTTCGAATATACAAACAACAATATCAGAGAGCATAGAATACGTAAAAGAATCAGGTGCACACTTGAGTGGAACCTATGCTTATGGCTGCATTATAACAACTGCCACCATGTCTGCGCATAATAAAAGAACAAGCGAGCAGCTAGACAAGGGAAAGAGACAGACAGAGTAGTATAAGAAGCAACAATGGAATGCAGTTTAGTAAATACCAAAAACATGCTACAACGACGAAAAACAAAGTCGCCATGTCGAGCTCAAGATGAGTAGCTCCAAAAAGCAGTCAAATGAATTTTTTTTGTACCACTCACCTGGCTAGTGGGCGGGGGCGTGCTCGTGGTCGTGCTGGTGGTGTAACTGGCAAGTGCAGTTGCAGGACAGAGCGCTGCATGCCATGGCATAGTTTGCTGCACACGGTCACAGTATTTGGTATTGCCCGTACAGAGTGCACACGACCAGACCCCATATATTTCAGCTGCAAAATGCCAAAAGGTATTTTAAGTAGTTTCGAACTGATTCCAAGCGCCATAAATTCTTCTGTCCGTTGCCGTTGACTACGCGCAGCAGCAGCAGGAGCAGCAGCAGCAGGAGCAGCAGCAGCAGGAGCAGCAGCAGCAGCAGGAGCAGGAGTCGTAGCTCCACCTGCTTAGCCTCGGCCATGCCAGGCATTTGGTGCTTAGCGCTTCAGTATCCTTTATCCCTTTTTAACGACCATAAATATATTGTGTGTGTGTGACTGTCTATGTGTGGTTGAGTGTGTGTGTGTGTGTGTGTGTGTGTGTGTGTGTGTGTGTGTGTGTGTGTGTGTGTGTGTGTGTGTGTGTGTGTGTGCACCAGGCCAGACAGTTAGCTAGACGTGCACCTAGCAAGGTGCGCAATGTATTCGTCAGACTGCGGCCATGTTGCCTGTTGTTTTTCATCCCAGAGCTCCAGTCGATGCCAGTTTGCATAAAACAAAGCAACAACAACAACTATAACAACAACAACAATAAAACAGCAGCTAAGGCAACAACTAGAGAGTCTGTGATTACATGGTGCATAAAAATGCACTCAGCTATGCAGTCCGAAGGCAATATCAGGTACTCAGCAACCGGGGCTCAATATCTGCAAGCAGCAGCAACTAAAGTTTAGCTTTTACCAATTATAAAGTTAGCTGCATGCGTGCAGCTCTTTGAGATTTAAAGTGCATATTAGTTTTCCATACACATATTATTTTTTAAATATATAAATATTAAACCTAAAATAATGCTCTTTTAAATTAAAAAAAAAGAAAAAGAAAATATATATGTATAAATAAATAAATAATCAGAAAAGCGAATAATTTGCTATTCAACATTATACCAAATTGTTTTTAAATATTTATATCAAATTATTTTTAAAATTTTAAAAATATATATTCTTCTACTTTTATATATTTTTTCACAAAATGTATATTTTATAAATTGAAAAACGTTTGATATAATTTAAAAAAATAAATAAAAATAAAAATAAATAAAAATGGTAACTCTGAATAACAATTAATCACTTTTCTGATTATTTTTAACTGCAGTTTTTTGTAAGCTTTTGCTCAAAATATATATTTTTTTTTTTAATATTTGCTGAAATTATGCAGAGCGGAGATTAATTTTATTTGAAGTAGAGTAGAACAGAAAAAAAATTAAATTCCTTCAATAATACAATATATAAACTATTTAACAATAGCATGAATAGTGTATTTACGTTGTTTTTATTAATATATTTTATTAATTAAATTAATTATATAAATGCTATATTATTTTTATAAATTAACATAATATCAATGCATTGCTTGCCATATATTAAATTAATGTAAATATATATTAAAATAAAAAATTAATATTGCTTGCCACATATTAAATTAATTTTAATACATATCAAATATTGCAATTAATATTGCTTGCCATTTATTAAATTAATGTTAATATAAATATTAAATATTCAAATTGATAATATTTTTAAGCTATCGCCAACATAGAAATTCTCTTCAATAATTCCAAATTTCTATTATGAGCTCTCAACAAAAATACAAATAAATTTATTCTCTACGCTCTTGGTTCGCTGCTTATTAACAAATATAAACAAAATAACAAAAATTTAAAAATAATTTAAAAGCAAGTGCAAAATTCAAACACAAAAGATTGGGCTCCAATAAATAAGCCTTTGTTTGCTCTTTCTGGGGTCAGGCGTCTCTGAATCAATGCGCAATATTTTGCAATAATTCGATTTTCAACATTTTCCAGCAATTTCAAATGGCAACAGAAATGCTGGAAAATAACTTTTGTGTAATTTTCAATATTTTGTAGCTTAAACAAAAATATGCCCGCTGCTGTTGCCTTTTGTGGTTGATATTCGTTGCTGTTGTTGTTGTTGTTGCTGTTGCTGTTGTCGATTTATTGTGATTTAAGTTGTGAACTTTGATTTTGCATATTGCGCATAAATATTATTGCATTCAGCATTCGTGTCAGTTAATTGCAAAAATATCGAGGGAATGCATGCATTTCGGAATTTGCATACAATCCAATTATTTAGCTCTGCACAATTTTCCCATTTACATAAGAAAATACTTCAGAGCTATTTGGGTTTGAGTTGCGATGCGCAAATATTTCCTGCTCTAAAGTTGAAATTTCTCTTACATAAACTAAAGTCAAAATGGGAAATGCCTTGGCTCTTTAAATTAAATTTGCAAACTTTTGCATTCAATAAAAAATTGGATCAGCGGCAACTGAAGGTAACTGCCGTTAACTCAAAGCGAAAAGGGAAATTAATTTGAGAAAATCAAAGTCAATATAATTTCGCTTTCTTTTATGCCACTTTACCTCTGGCTCTGCCCCAGCCCCTGCTCCAGCCTCAGTCTCTATCCCAGCCTCATATATTTTTCTCGTCCTCTCTTTTTCACGCTGCGCTGCGCTGGCAAACGAACTGGCCAGCCCGCCTTCTCTCACTCTCTCTCCACCTCCCTCCCTCTCTCTATAAGGCACGAACCTTTTAATTAGTCAACCGCCCGCGCGCCCCGTTTGAGTGCTGGGCAAACACTGAGCAAAGGGTTACACAAAAAAAAAAGAAAAAACAACAACAAAATGTGGAACGAGCTGAAAATTGCCATTAGGTTAAACAATTGCAGCGCTTGGCCTACATTGCGTATGCGTAATACTTTTAATTTGTTCTCTTTCTTTGCCTCTGCTTCTCCTTTCGGTTTCGGTTTTGGCTTATGAGCTTCTCAGAGGCCTTCGGCGACCGGCGCCCCCAGTTCCTACGCAGTTCATTAGGTTATCGCAGGCGTTTCACGTGTCCGGACGCTTGGCACGTCGCTTCCGACACGCTACCAACTGCATGCGAGCGTCGAATGGCAGCGGGAGAGGAGTTACAGGGGCTGCAGGCGCTACAGCTACACTTTATTTTTATGAGCCATTGGAGCAGAGTTAGGAGCTGTGCGCTTGCCAAAAAAAAAAAAAAAAAAAAAAAAAAAAGAAGGAAACCTTTTGCCGTGACTTTTCATTGAAAATGGAAAATCAGGGGATTATGATTTTGGGGAAATGTATGTAATAGCAGATGGAGGTGTGTGATTATGGCAGTCCCTATGTGTGTGTGTGTGTGTCTATGTGTTATTTGTGATGTGTGCTTAAAAGCAGCGTAGACTGATTTTCATTTCAACTTTTAGCAGGACTCAGGGTATCTGCTAGTCGAACAGTCTCGACTAGAACACGCTCTCATGTAGGTATCGTTTGGGGCTCTAACAAATTTGCTGCAAGATTGATTGTATTGCCAACCCACACACACACACACACACACACACACATACACACAGGCGGCTAACAAAGCGATTTGGCCAGACATCACAAAATGGCGCACGGATGTACATGACGTACATGACGTTTCCGTTTCCGCTGACGCCGCCGCAGCTGCAGTCGCTGCCAAAAGCTGCGCTTTTTAAGTGTTTCACATTTTATTGTTGAACAACAGCCGGAGTTGCCCTTAAAGCAGCGCGTAACAAATCGCTTTGGTCTAAAAAGGGGGTGCGAGGCGGAGCAGCAGCAGCTTAGTGGCAACTATCAAGTGCAGCCGCAGAACGCTTTCAGATTTGAGTGGATGGCATTAACATTTTATAAGCTTGGCCCCGATGCTGCCATTTCACTTTGTTTAAACGCTTGAAATTAAATGATATTTTCCGCAATTCTTTCATTCTACAGCTCTAAATCTCTCATTCTCTCTCTCTCTCTCATTGCAGATGGTGCCCACCCAGCAGCTCTCGAAACTTTCAAATCTCACTTATTTGAACCTGGGCGGCAATCGTTTCGCCCACTTGCCAGCTGTAGCATTTTTAAACTTGTTTCATTTACGCGAATTGCACTTGAGCCGCCTGGACTATTTGCAGCGCATCGATTCGAGGTAAGTTTGCCGTTGAGCCAAGTGAAAGTTCGTCTAAAAGTCTACACCCTCGCCCCATGCCCCCCACACTCTCTCTCTCTCTCACTCTAAGAAAGTTACAGTGATACTTAAGCAACTCGACTGTTTATATAGTATATGCTCTTTACGGCTGCTAACTGGGTCAGCGCCATGAAATGTAGACACAGCAAACATTTGCCCAGCAGCTGAAAACGAAAAATCAGCTATGTGGACAATTGCAAACAGTTTGCCCAAAGTGAGAGTCATTCACAGAAACAACAAATCTATATGTGGCGCATCACAATTACAGCCGTGTCCCTTGCAGCATCATAAACAACTTTCTTGACACTCGGAGAACTTTATTTTTGAAAAGCATTAAGGGAAACTTCTTGAGCTGCTAGATAACCTCTTGATTATAAGCAAGAATCTGACAGACACTGGCTCGACTGGCATTTTCTAAACTGGGTACTTAAAGGGGATGATCATGATTCTCTTTCAATAAATTTAAAAAGTTTTAAAATTAAATAAATCAATATTTAATAGAAATAGAGAGATCAATATTTAAGAAGCCAAAGCGCTTATATGAGCATTCCAATTGGTACTCTGCATATTCCTCTGCATTTATTACTCTTTACAAATGAATTAAAGCCCATTGGCTGCTGTGCACTGAGAGCGTTTTCACACTGCTCATTCCTCTTCGCGCTCACTTCATTCAACGAAATCAAAGCGAGCATGTCCGAAGCGTAGCCCTCTTGCTCTCACTCACATACAACACTATGTTCAGCAATAGCTATCACCGATTGAGTTATTTAACAGTGACAGCTATATTTGTCGCGCTCTCTCTCTCTCTCTGTCTCGTCTCTTCTTGGAGTGAAATTTCACACATGCAGGACAATGAGCAACATGCATATAAAAGCTAAGCTCGTCGAGTGATGCTTTTAGAGCAACTACATACAGCGCTCAGCACTGTTAAAAGCCACTCGATCGCGAGAGCTCAGTCTCTCACTAATACAACTGCAACAGTAGGAAGCAATTGCAAGAAAATTTAACAGAATTAGGAAACTGTAAGGAGGCTTGACTTTAACATAATCAATGAATAATGTTAAGAATGTTGTTTATACATACATGTTTACATTACATAATGATAACAATAACACATGAATCTTCTTATATCATTCCACTAACTAATTAATTGAATTCTATTGAAAGAACCCTGAACTAAAGCGGAATTTTAGCTGCGCTGCACTTTCACTTGACAACCTTAGCCTTAACCTCCAGCATCGCATAAAGTATGCAATTTTTTTTTTTTCTTTTGGCCAGAATAATCATGTGGCTCAATAGGCTCAATAGTTGGGGTACAAAGCGTGCAATGTGATTTGTTATACCCTTAGACGTTTACAGCTGCTCTCGAAAATAAGCTGGCAAGGCAGTCAGTCATGCAATTCACTTTCACACACTTGCACGTGACCTAAGCGCGCCCCCTCTCACACAGACATTCACACACACACACACACACACACAGAAGCTCAAGCACATATAGAGGGAGACACTTAAACATGCCTCGGCTACAAATCATTATTGCTCAATGCAATCAATCATGTCTAATACGCTTTGGTAATAAGATGCCATCACATACACACAGACACACTCTCACACACACACACACACAATCACAAAGTCAAATTGCCATTGCCTTCGCCCAACTCCGAGCTGAGGCAGACATTGAAATGCTTGAGCTCAATTCGAGCATATGTTAATTCAATAATTCCAGGCAATTTTCATATCAAATCATCATTGAACGAGCGAGCCTCTGTCTGTGCTAGCGTCTCGACTTGCTTGTCAATCAGACATCTGTGTACCACCTCCCTCCCTCCCTCTCGCCCTCTCGCCCTCTCGCAGTTCCCCTTTCCAGGCGAGCATAGAAATAATATTGATATGAGAGAAAATGTTCGGAGAGCGAATCATGTAAATGGATCCCGAGCTGAGCAGCTGCCAATGCCATTAAATCAGTTTAATTTTGTAATTTCGTTTGATTCTCTTGCCAGAGACATGGCCACGCCCCGCCCCCTGCCCTACGAGACTTGTAATTGCTTTTGCCATTGCTTTAGCTTTTGTTTGATTTCAGTTCGAGTCCTATTGCCAAACTGTTGCCGGTTGCCTCTTGCCATTGTTCGCTGTCTGACAAATTGTTGCCTAACTCAAATTTACATACCACTTACACACACACACACACACACTGACTGTCACACACACTCACACACTCATGTTTTGCTTATTTGCAAACTAAATTCTGCGTTTGTCTGGCTTTTTTTTTCTGGCTATTGCCAGAAAATCTTATGCTAATACATGAAAATTTGAATTTTAAACCTCGTTTTTTCTGGCTGAAGTGGGTGGACGAGGGTGAAAGGACTATAGCCCCATTTTCTAGAATAAAAAATTATTTTGCATGCATTCGTATATGTTTGAAGGAAAATGGTAAAGTCGAGATTTAGACTGCTCTAGAGAGGAACGAGCACATATATTATAACAGGCAAGCATTAACAGAAAAGTCAGGCATAGTTATAACTAAATATTTCCAATCAGAGTTGTTATTGACAACAGGTCTGTCTTTCTCTCTCTCCCTCTCTCTGAGCTAAAAGCTCAGCACATTAGTTTGAGCTAAATAATTCTAAGCTGACATAATAATAGCAGCTCTCTGAAGAATCCAATTTAAATGTCAGTCATTGTCACAGTCAAACATTTCCCATCAACTGCAGACTAACATAGTTACGGTTAAGCATATCAAATCGGACATGTTAACAGCAGCTCATTGCGGAATTAATTGGAATTGCCAGAATTTCCAATCAGACATGATGGCAATAGCTTTTTATTAAATACAGCTTCAAATTCATTCAATCTGATATGTTCACCGCTCTTTGTCGAGCCCAATAGAAATCTCATTCATAGTCTTGGTCAAACGTTTCCAATCAGAAATGTTAGCAGCAGTTCTCTGCAGTTAGACATTCATAGTTGCAGTTAAACATTTTCAATCAGAAATGTTAGCAGCAGCTCTCTGCAGAATTCAACTGTTAATTAACACACTTGCAGTTAAACATTATTAAACTGCAGCAGCTCTCTGAAGACTCCAACATACATTCATATTTTCAAACAGACTTGTTTACAGCTCTCTCTCCAACTAAAGTCTCAGTTCTAGTCTGAGCTTAACATTTCCAATTAGACAAGCATTCAGCAGCTCTCTATAGAGCCATAATTCCAGCTGAACATTTGCAATCATACATGTGAGCAGCTCTTTAATAAATTTAACTATTAATGTGCCCATAGTTCCAGCTAAATATTTTCAATCAAACATCAAAATGACGACTCACATATAATTCCAGCGAACTAGTATTTCCAATCAGAGCTGTTAATAACAGCTCTCTCATTGGATGCCTGCACGCATTCACTTTGATTTCAGAGCCAATCACGAATTTCTGTAGCCAACACATGCTTCGACTTTATTCCCGTTTCCTTCCGTAGATTAAGAATGTGCACAACAAGCAGGAAATTATATTTCACTAGCTTAAGACTGTAGCCAGCCAGCCAGTGCGTTCGTTCGTTCGGGTTGACTCCAGCGAGGGTTGACTGTTTGCGACAGACAGCATAAACAAGTCACTGGCTCTGCCAGAGGGGTGCCAGACAAATTGTTAGACACCCTTTCGCAAACAATCAAAAAAATCGTGTGAGTGTGTGGGATGGGGGGGAGCAAACGGAAATAGCGCAACATTTTAAAGTTTCGGCCGGGCGTTGCATAAAAGATTGAATGGGGCATGTCAACTCCCCCACCTCCCCACCTGCTCTACCCGTGCACATGTATGTAAATATTTATGCAAATGCGTTAATGGAAACGCACCCCAAACGTGCGACGATGGCGACATGTTGATAGCAAAGTTTATGGCAGATACATTTCGCTAACTGTGAGTTGCACATGTGTTGTTGTTGCTGCTCCTCCTCCTGCTGCTGCTCCTCTGAGATTGTCTCATTACAAAAACCTTACACCCCGAACAATCAGCGCGCGTACGCAAAATTCATTAGGCAGCGGCACGTATCAGGGCAAAAGTAAAGAGCCCAACTCCATATAGTAGCATACCTGTATCATAACAGCAGCAGCAGCCGCAGCAGCAGGAGCAGCAGCAGGAAGCTGGCCCCAACTCCTGCTGTTCATATCAAAGGGAATATTAAGTGAACATTTTTGTGAGCTGCGCCCATCTCTGCTGGGAGCCGCTGTATGACTTAATAGCCAAAAGTCATTTGCAACATTAACACTTGAGTCCGGGTCCGGGTCCGTGTCGGACTAACCCGAAAGGTGTTGCCCCGCTCGCCTCTTGCTGCGGTTCGTCATTGCGCGCACCCAAAATTGAATCTAATTGTTTTCAAATTTATGCATTCCGAGCGAACAGACTTCATTTGGCTCATTTCTCTCGTTTGTCTCGTTTCTCTCGTTTGGCGTGTGGCTGAGTTGTAATGCGATTTGCATTGCGCCACGGCTTGGGGCACAGACGACATTTGTTTTGTGGCCGCTTTTTGGGGTTGTAATCGCCTAGGCAGACGGGCAGCTGTGGGAGCTTATGGAGCAATGTTTTACCTCATGATATTTGTAGTTAATGCATAGAGAAATTAAAATAGAAAAGAGTTGTTGTAGTTAAGGGTGTAAATAGATTTGGTGTTTAATGTAGTGGAATATGAAAAAGTGAGGCATATAAGTATATTTATGAGTATATCAATGACTGATTCTTATTTATGTTGTGGAATATATAACATATTATGTAGATAATATATTAAAATATATTTTAAAAAATATATATTAAAACTTTATAATTTATTTTTTATATATTTTTATATATTTTCTACACATTATTTTGGTATATTTAATGTTCTTCACATTCATATGACATTCTATACTATATTTTATATATATTTTAATATAGGCATATTTTAATAATCTTATGAGTGTGAAGAGCTTTAAA